GTTACCGTACCTTTTCATTATTTATATATAATGATGTGTTACCCTTTCCTTATTTATATATAATGAAACCAGTAACCTTATTATATATAAATAATATTTAGTTATCCTTTCATTATTTATATATAATGAAATCAGTAAACTAATTATATATAAATAATGAAAACGTTAACGCAATTATTTACATAATAATCTTTTAGACGTAAATGCATTATATATAAATAATCGGTGAGCTATTCAATTTATGTTAAATAATGAATTTTACATAAATAATTGTGTTAAATAATAAATTTTCACTTGGCGCCTCATATTGACCATCATGATCGACCGTATTCATATCCTTTGTGCAATTTTTTATGTTACTTAAAATATAATTTGAGAGTAATTTTTAAGAATTATTCATAAATTAAATTAATAATTAGATTAAATCATAATAATAATAATTATTATTATTATTATATATTAATTAATGTTCTCAATGCTTTTATTTTCTCTATTGATATTTATTAATATTGCCTCTTTTTCTAGTACTGTTTTATATTTTGTATATTCCAATCACACTATTGTTTTATGATTGCAATAAAGATTTATTTGATTTGATTTAAGAACTCTGTGTGTAGTACACTTGTGGTTCTGAAGGACGCACTTAGCAATAGTCCTTAGCTGCTGATCTCGGAGAGGTTGCTGAATTTTCACGAAATATTAAGATCACAATTAATCTCAATTGTCCTCCTAAGCGGTTCTAATAACTGCATAAATTATGAAATAAGAAACAATGCTCGAATACAGGAACAATGAACAAACATATCGGCCATAGCCTATCAACGAAAAAGTTCTTTATCAACTGTTTTGAAAAGGTCCAAGCATTATAGCATTTAAAAGCATGGTGTAGCTGGTCATTATAGCTACAGCTTGTAATAGCTTATAATAGCAGGTATATAGCAATAAAATATAGCAATATGTTTGCTGTAGCCATCAACAATGTTTTTATGTGCTATATTTTCTATTTAATGATAATAGTGAAATTGTCTGCTGTAGCCGGGTTAAGTATTAAAAAGCATTAAATAGCGTTTTATGGTAGTCACTATCAGTCATGTCACCCATTTCACAAAATATAGCAATATGTTTGCTGTAGCCATCAACTGTTTTTTATGTGCTATACTTGCTATTTAATGATAGTGATATGGGTTAAGCAAAGGCATTCGGAAAATCTGCTGGTTTTGACAACTTAACTTCTTTGTAGGAGTATGCTAAATCATGGTCATGTGACTAATGAATTGACTAAGGTTGTCCTGATGTTAAGTGCAAATCTGGGGACTTTAAAGCATTCATCATTAAAGCAAAGAATAATTAAAGGCCCATTGCATTAGCTAGTGTTAATGTCAAAGGTTTTTGAACTTTCTATTGACCATAGTGGATATAACCTTCAAAATACTGAGCATTAATTTGCTTTTTAAAAAAAAGGACGTAGCACCGATACTTGTATTTTTGTTCTGAAGCAGGTAATTGATTATTATAATCCTTTGCTTAGTAGGATCTGTTTTTTGTTGCTTTATGGATGTAAGCAAAGCGTTTGACTGAGTGAATCACTGAACTCTTTTCCGCAAACTTATTGATAGGAGAAAGGAATGAAAAGAACTTGGAAAAAAAAGGAAATATTGTATTGTTCCTTTTTAATGAAGATTGTTGAAATAAATGTGGTGGTTACGCCACGAAAGAGAGAGAAAAGAAACTTATTGATAGGCAAGATCCTCATTGTATAATTAGGGTTCTAGTATCATGGTACTGTCACGGCAATAATTGGTCCGGGCCAAAAAAACGTCCGGCAGACAGATTTGGCCGCCAAAATCGGTCCGACGGGCTACTTTTGGCCGTAAATGTCGGTTCACCGGGTCGATTTTAGCCGCTAAAACCGGTCCCCCTTTGGTAAATTGGTCCGTCGGCCTGGTCGCTTGTAACGCCGGGCACTCACTGCGCACGACGGTCGGCCGACGCGATTCTATGAAGAACGCAAGGCGACAACTCGCGCACAACGGATCGTTTTTAATGCCGATCCGTTCAGACTGCTACCGACAATCAGCAGACGGCTTTGCGTCGTCTATCGCTCACAGAGAGCGGAGTTGGATTCGTCGTACGACGCAGTGAGTGCCCGGCATAACGCGTCTGCTGCCCGAAGGGTATGATTGTTTCTCCTGTGGAGTGGAGCGAAGTAATTTATGCTTGTCCCACACCTGAAAAATATTTTGCAGAGACAGAATGATTCGTATTATCGCTTTTGTGGACGTGTTCCCAGTATCCGACCAGTTGGTCGAAATCCAGTTTCCGAGTTTAGGCCGCTTTGCCGAAACCCAGGTTGCCGAATTTTGCCATCACCACCGTACAAAATCGCAGCACACTACTATTTTTAACTAAATGTAATCACGTATAATTATGTAGGCGATGGCGAATGTAATCTCAGATTTAACAACTACAAAAAATTAGTTAAAGACCATCAAAGAGGCTTCCCTGTTGCTCACCACTTTAATTTACCGAGCATTACTATTATGCTTATTCAGATTATTTTCTTCTATTTCCTTTCTTTGACCTATTTTTGTTTAATTTCTGTTTCACAATGCATATTTATAGTTTTTGAATTTGTTTTTCTTATTGCCATTTTATATTTTTAATTTAGTAGTGTTGTTTTTTTTTCTTTTAAGCCTACTGAAGTTTTAAATTTTTTTTCTCTCGTTTTTGGTTTGTATTTTGAGAGTGTTTTTGAGGCGGATGCAGGGGGTCCCCCTAAATTGTATTAAGAAAATAATTGTTGTATGTATTGTTGATATGAACATAGTACCGGTAAGATTTTTAAATTATGAGAGACTGAGAGTGCAATTTCCGGGTAGATAGAGGTCCATAAAACTTTTCTCGCCTGAGGTCGGGCTAAGGTGATGTAAACTGTCACGCACCCCCTACCTCCAATTCCTGTATCCGCCTCAGTGTTTTCTCATTGCTAAAAATTGCTAATAGGGGTTGGGTGTTGGATATCTTGGAATTTCAGTGAATAAGGTTCTCTCTTGGTCGTTTTTGTTGTGTCATTTTTCTTTAATCATTTTTTTGTTGTTGCTGTGAATCTTGTAAATTTCAATTTGTTGAGTATTATCTGATATTGTCCAATCAACACATACAATAATATGTAATGAGAATTATGCATTTTTTTAGGACTGGTGTAACAATTATAGTCACATCCTTTTAGTGGGTGTTATTCGTACTTTGCACTCTGGATTTTTAAAGTTATTTATACTTTTCATGCATTTATAAAAGCACAATACATACTCCATATATGGAAATGCACGCCATTGTGTTGGGATTCAATATTTCGAAATTAATTACGTCATCATTTTTATTCCTGATGACATTATTAATGTCAAAATATTGAATTCCAACACGATGGCGTGCATTTCCATATATGGAGTATACATTATACTTGCTTATCTGAGATTAATCAGTGGAACTTCCGATTTTTGCATTTATTTGAATTAAGACCAATAATAATAAAATATTACGTGCAGTTGACACTTAAAATTTGATAGTATGGCTATAGCTTTCCCTTTCCCTTTTTACTCAATTGTTTTTACACACAATTGATTATGTTCTTCATTCATTCGAATGTCTTCCCATTGGTCTACTTCGTCAGCAGATAGTATTGCCATATTACACGGATTTTAATATTCATCAGCTTTGTTTTGCGAATTCCGACAGCTAATCCTACTCGTCATTCTGGTCAGAATAGATTCGCATCTCTGCTTTGTGGTTCCCTACTACTGTATGTAGGGTCAACTGTGTGCAGTCAAATTTCCAACATTACCAGAAATTCTGGTATTGAATTTGTATTCACAATTTAACATTAGTCGTAAGTAGTTTGATTTTGTTATTATTACGTAACTCTCCGGTTTATAAGATTCTTGCCTTAATTAATTCATTTAATAATTGTTTAGAAAAATATAATTCAATTTTTCAGTGATATTTTTAAATGTTTTGTTGCAAAATCATTAAAAATGTTTAAAGTTCGTTTATATCTTAGAGTTTATGTTCTATTCTGTTAAGTGGTGGGGTTCCCGCTGTTAAATGAGATGGTAAATAAATATTATAAATTCACCTAGGTAGCCTTAAGCTCCACTATTAATCTCAGATAAGATAGTATAATACATACTCCAAGTATCGAAATGCACGCCATCGTGTCGGGATTCAATATTTCGACATTAATTATGTTATCATCAGGAAATGATAATGAACGAACTTACTTTATAAATATCAGTGTTCTCCTGAAACCGGATTTGGCAGTGTCACTGTAATTTCGGACTTCCATAGCCTAAATTCAAACTGAAATTAGCCACTCGGAAAGATGATTTATCTCAAGAACTGGATTTTCCGCCCACGCTTAGAGACTTCGAAATGGGGGTCACCGAATTTGCACTATGCCCGTGACGTACATAGGGGCGACCGAATTTACGGGAAGAGGTGAACTCTGATTAACCGGCATTATTCAAAAGAGTAAGAGACTCAGGGCCGGATTTAAAAACTATTTCAGAATATGAACACTGTTGATTTTTAAAGCACTGGGCAGGTATATGTCTATTTTAGTAATTTTTAATATCGTATTCAGCCAAACATGATGCATTAAAACAGGTGTGAAGCATCATTTAAAATCGATATCAAACTTAGTCAAACAGTACATTACCGGTATATTGACTTTGAATTGCAGTTGAATTGGAAATGTTCATAATTTCTAAGTTTATTATAACCAACTCAATAATTATACAGAATCCAGTTCAGAAATTAATTTTCAGAATTTTCAAATTGATTTTCTTCATCGTAATGTTGTTTTTGTACTTTTTCCCACGATGCTAGTTCATACATGTGTTTGGTGTTTGAATGAACATAATTCGTTGGTGAAGCAGACATTATTTGTTTTTATTTAATTTTGTTCCATGGTTACTGTATATCGATTCAATGTTTCCGTCTTGGAACGTCATCAGGCATGATGTGTGTTATTATATTATACTATAATCACTGGCTTCGATTACATGATTTTTGCATAGCCATATTTTTGGTTAAAATTCAGAAATCATGGATGCGATAATATTCGATCGCTAGATACATTCTAGCATAAAGTATCTTGCCAAATTTCTGATAATTAATATACAGCAGACCTATTTAAATTTGAAATTCTATTGTCAACATAAGACACTTCTAAAACCATTATTAAAATCTGAAAGTGTTGTATCCATGAGAAGTGCTATTCTAAAACCCATGGTGACGCTGAGGTTGGTAACCTAAGTAAAGAGATTCTAAAGTAAGACAGGGGCGGATTTAGGGTTAGCCGGGCTGCCACCTCCCCCTTTTGGGAGGTAAAAAAAGGGGGAAAATAGATTTTTTTAAAAAATGATAGTCCAGAACGCCTCGAATGTTATTTTCGGGCGTCTAGAACACAAAAAGTTCGACTGGGCATGACCCCGGACCCCCTAGGACGGTGTTGTCTCGTCGGCCCAACTTTCGCCCCCCCCCACACTTTTAGACATCTCTGGATCCGCCCTGTAAGACACCTAAAGTCAAACCTTATTAATTCTCATAAATATATAAGCAATTTTCCCACGATGTTTAGTCAAATAATTTTTGTTGAAATATGCACCATTTTGGTATATTTCACTTTTGACCAACTTCGTATCGAGACCTAGGACTGTATAGAATTGGTCTAATCACCGATTACACCAATCAATCTCGGCCTATATTTGGCTCTGAAACGTTGTGGTAAACTATTCAGTAATAGGCCTGCATCAGCAGCTCATTGTCGATATTCTTTGGTATACACATATTGAATGTTTATGAGTGCAATGGAAAGAATAATTTCATGAGTTGAAAGATAGACTGTTCTGTAAAACGCTGCGGAACGATCAATCTTTCAAAAAATAAAAATATTCTTTCGATTGTGCAAATTTACGTACATCTTAAATATTGATATTGTTAAAACTATGGATTTTTTTATCTGGCTATATAATACAGTTTGAGTCACTTTGAGTATGAGCCATATGCCCTTTAAAGTAGTGAAGATGGGGGGGGGGGGGCTCTGCCATTCAAGCTGTTAATAATATTAACTACTAAAGCCGGTTTTCCACTAGACGAATTTATTCGCGCGAATTGAAAGCGTGGGTTCATGCGCATTCACATTCCTATCGGAGTTTTTGCGAAGGGAAAAAATGCGCAACCAATCAGAGCTCTGGAAGCGAACCGACGCTTTGATTCGCGCGAATAAATTCGCCTAGTGGAAAACCAGCTTTAGACGTTTGGTTTGATCGTTCACTTACTTGGAATAGCCACGTTGACAAACTTTGTACAATGGTTAGCAGCAGAATTGTAAATTGAGTCATTAGCTTGATACTTGTTCTTTAAGTTTACTTTATAAGTCGTTGGTTCTACCTTTGTTTGATTATTGTGACTAAGTATGGGAAAGTCTGGCAAGGGTTTGGAAGGTATAATTTATATATATATATATATATTTATATACGCCAATCTCGAACACGCCAGGCCACTTTAGGCGCAGTCTTATACCTCTGGTTCACTTAGGAAACTCCTTCCCATAAAAAAAATCATTGTTACGGACCTGAACATGAAAATTATGTTTCCAACTTCCAGAAAATCAAATGTATTTTTCCTTGTTAATTTCAGTTTGATTCACCGATTGCATTGTATGCTGTGAAGATCTGCGGGTAGACCTATACTTCACTACTGTAACGAAGTATTAAGCAAAATTATGGAGTCTTCATACGTTGACAATGCCGGCAATGGAACCGATACTTCATTGATGGTGTCCGCTGGAGTTATAATCACGTGGATTTTGGCCGTACTAACCGTTTTTGGCAACAGTTGTGTTATTCTTGCTTTCATCACCGAAAAATCTCTTCATATGAATCCTGCCAATTTCTTCATCTTAAATCTTTCTGTTGCCGACTTCCTGACTGGCGCCATATCATTCCCGCTTAACAACCTTTGGCTGATGTTCGGTCGGTGGCCATTCGGGGAAGCTGTGTGTAAAATGTGGCTGATAGTCGACTACACAGCATGTGCTGTTTCTGTTTGTGGCATTATTTTGATAAGTTTGGATCGCTACTGGATGTTGAAGCTAAAGATGAAATACCGAAAGTTTCAAACAACAAAACGCGTCACCGTGATGGTACTCACAACATGGACTATCTGCATACCATTCTATGGGATTCCAACTTTATTTTGGGCTAAGTTCACAGGTGAAAATACAGTTGATTATTCAGAAGATTGTGAAATGGAGTCAGAACAAAATCTGGCTTATAATGCATTTATCGTTTGCGTCGAGTTCCTCATACCTCTACCAATCATTGTGTATTTGAACGTAGTTGTCTACCGCGAGATACGCGCTCTCTCGCGAACCACTCCTGATGGCAACCCATCGAGCAGGCATTCATCAATCCTTAGTATAGTTCAAGTTGGAGAGACTGATGCCACTATTTCAACTAAGGTAGATAAGTACTGGGGAATGGCGTCAAATCAAGGCGCCGGACCATCCAGACACAGAATAACGGTTGCCACTCTTTTGCAGAGGCACCGAAAGGCGGCAGTGACTCTAGCGGCACTAATCATTGCTTTTGCAATATGCTGGACTCCATACAACATAATCCTACTCTGGAGTATAATTTGTGACGATTGCTTCAATGACAGTGTTTGGGAGACAGTCAACTACCTCTTGTGGAGTAACTCTGCCATCAACCCAATTCTATATGCACTAACAAATACGAAAATTAGAAATACTTTCTATAAATTTCTTGGTATGAAATATTTCAAAAGAATGATCGGTCTAAAATAAATATTAACAGGACAATCTAAGATTACAAATCCTCGCTCTCTGTTGCACCATATCTATATAGTCGATTCGCTCGATACCGTGCTGGCTATTTTATACATACCTATCAAGTGAAGTGTAACAGAGCGGTAACGGTGCACGTATTATGTGTAAAGTTAATTGACTGTATGGGGTTCAAATCTCTCTCTTGTTTTTGTTTTGTTTATTATTATTATTATTATTATTATTATTATTATTATTATTATCATTTATTGAAGATTTCTCATCAGCTTCTGCTTTGCAATTGTAAACAAGTCAACATTTATCAAAAGTGTATATAATTATTTATTATTATTATTATTATTATTATTATTATTATTGTTATTATTGTTATTATTATTATTATTATTGTTATTATTATTATTATTATTATTATTATTATTATTATTATTATTATTATTATTATTATTATTATTATTACCCTAGCCTCCGAGGGAGACGGCGAGGGTATTGCAATAGCTCGTGTGTGTGGGGCTGTCGGGCTGTGTGTGTGTCCGTGGTGTGTTTGTTCTTCCGGGCGCATAACTCAAAACTTACTGAACCGATTTTACTTCAAAATGTCACATATTGCCCATATTACATGTATCGCGATCCTCCTCAAATTTGGTGCTGATCAGAAGTAGATAACGTTAGATTCTGACAGAACCAACTCGAGCGGATCGTTCGACCGAGTTGTTTGGCTAAGCCAGGCTGACGATGCTAGGCCTCGTTTGGCGGATAGATTGGAGAAGTTAGATGCAGATTTTAGAACGTTTTAATTTTTTCCCGCCGTATATCTTACAATCTGATGCCCCAATTAAAAAAAAAAAAAAAAAGCAATTGTGAATAATAATAAAAGATGAAAAAGGGTATTCTAGATTCACAATAATAAAAAGTTAATAATAATAATAAATATTTTTGAAAAACGAAAACAAAGTGGTATTTGAACCCCATACATTCGATTAACTATACACAAAAGACGTGAGCCTTCCGCTCGGCCACACTTCTCCTGATATGTATTTTCATCTCCCTAATAATACAAAAAAACAACCAGCGGAAGAGCGAATCGGCTATATAGATATGGCTCAACTTTTTTATTACCGGTATTTGTGCATTTAGGCATATAGAATCCTTTTTTTCATATTTTTTATTATCATTCACAATTATTTTTTTGTATAAAACTGGGACAGCAGATTGTGAGATATACAAAATAAGTATTTCTTTTAAAAAAAATATTATTTCAACAACATTTTGGAAGGGTGGTCATGGTTCATCCATAATGGGACCGCCCTCAGAACATCCACTCACGTGTCCGTGGTGTGTTTGTCCTTCCGGGCGCATAACTCAAAACTACTGAACCGATTTTACTTCAAAATGTCACATATTGACCATATTACATGTATCGCAATCCTCCTCGAATTTGGTGCTGATCAGAAGTAGATAACGTTAGACATTACATTCTGACTAACCAACTCGAGCGGATCGTTCGACTAAGTTGTTTGGTTAAGCCAGGCTGACGATGCTAGGCCTCGTTTGGCGGATAGATTGGAGAAGTTAGATGCAGATTTTACAACGTTTTAATTTTTTTCCCGCCGTATATCTTACAATCTGATGCCCCAAAAAAAAAAAAAAAAAAAAGCAATTGTGAATAATAATAAAAGATGAAAAAGGGTATTCTAGATTCACAATAATAAAAAGTTAATAATAATAATAAATATTTTTGAAAAACCAAAACAAAGCGGTATTTGAACCCCATACATTCGATTAACTATACACAAAAGACGTGAGCCTTCCGCTCGGCCACACTTCTCCTGATATGTATTTTCATCTCCCTAATAATACAAAAAAACAACCAGCGGAAGAGCGAATCGGCTATATAGATATGGCTCAACTTTTTTATTACCGGTATTTGTGCATTTAGGCATATAGAATCCTTTTTTTCATATTTTTTATTATCATTCACAATTATTTTTTTGTATAAAACTGGGACAGCAGATTGTGAGATATACAAAATAAGTATTTCTTTTAAAAAAAATATTATTTCAACAACATTTTGGAAGGGTGGTCATGGTTCATCCATAATGGGACCGCCCTCAGAACATCCACTCACGATAAAAAAAAAAGATATAGTAATATCAATAATTTCTATAACGAAATAATAATATAAGTAATACCAATAATGATTTCTCTAAGCATATTTCATTTTTATTAAACAAATGTTTGGTCACCATAGCACACTCAAATGGATATGCTTGTTCATTTTTAATCATTATTCAAATACAAACACCAATAAACAAAAACGATAAAATAAAATCAGATATGAACAATCCATTACGGAAACGGCACTTTAGTAATAAAACAGATTTGAAGAATTTTGGCTTAATACATAACTCTACAGATTAACAACTTTTAAAACATCACGCATCAAAAAATGTGCAATGGAGTATAAGCTATTTAAGTTTGAGTATTTGCTTCTTTTTTTTACTCTCCCTCACGCCATCCTCCAAAGGCTCCGTGGAAAGCAAAAGAAGAAGACATCCAAGAACGACCGACCTGGCAACACAACATCAGGAAATGGTCAGGTCTAGCACAATGTCAACTCTTAGAGACAGCCAGGGGCAGACGGTCATGGAGGGATCTGGTCCATCGTTCCTCATCATAATATGATGAGGAACGATGGTTTTCCAGGTTACGGGCAACTAATTGTTTTTATGATAACCATTGACATAGTCGCGACAGTTAAACTACAAGAGGGCTTATATAGGAATGGAAATGATGATGTCATATCATACCCATATATTAGAAAATCGTAGCTATTTGTCATATAATAAAATTTGGAAGCGTGGTTAAAGCAATAAGAATAGACAACATTGTCAAATAGCCACATATTTTAGCAATGCTAGCGTAAGAAATTACCTCATTATCGCTCTAAGTAAGTTCATATCTATCGTGAATCTTATAATAATGAACATTCTGAAATTCATATCTACTAATTGCAGTTTATATTTTTTGTATTACAGAAACTATTTTTAGACATTATTTCTACTTTTACGTAATTGAATAGACATACTGTATAAGAATTAATATGAGGATTTTTTCCCCCAATAATTTTAGACCTTATACAGTATCAACTCGCCCTCCAGTTCAAAACCACCTTTGGGAACTGATAGTTTTGGGTGGTCTCGTGGTTCGGTCTCCACATAAAGAGTGATGAGCTTGATGTTGATAGATAGAAGATTGTTATTTGGTTCCTTGAAAATTTGTCTCGAATTAGAGGGATCTCGGAATTAAAGTGGTCTTGAATTGGAGGGTGCCCTGTATTAAATAGCATGAATTATTTTGTATGCAATAATACAACAAAAAAGGACAAAATAGACATTTTTAAACTCAAACTATTTAAATATAAAATGGTATCATAAAATGACAAACCAGAGGCTATACGAAATAACACACCTGGAGAAATGGAGTAAAAAAGTAAAAAGAAGAAGACTAATAAGGTATGGACACCTTGTAAGATTACCGACAAACTCCCCCACGAAAACAGCATTGCATGAAGCAATACGAAAAGTAAAAAGATCAATTGGACGACCTAAAATAACATGGATAAGCAAAGTTAAAAGCTAATTGAAAGGATTAATAAATATATACTGCAATATCGAGACACATCCAGTCTACGATAGGATCAAGTGGCGAGAAATCGTTGAATGCGCAATGTCGAGAGACGGATAGCGTTATCAATAATAATAATAAATAATAATACAAAATAGTTTTCTACGACTACTCTCTGAAATTATAATATAAAAGTTGAAAATGTTTTTGTAATAAATAAACAATGTGCTCTAGAAACTTACGGTAAATAATATTATGTGCATCTTCTGAAAAAGCGCCGTTCCTCGGACTAGTAACCCTTCTGCAAATGTCGTTTGTATTCTTAGGTAAGGCACTTTTTCTATGTTGACTCTTGTCACCCATAAGTGGGTACCCAGGAGGTTCGAGTGCAAAATTCGCTGATTTTTGTTTCATGCAGCAAACTATGGATTTTCCCCATAGGCATCGTTCGAATGACCGGGGTAATAATCTGGAAAAACACTCTGAAACTTATTCCAATCCTATAGAACGCTAGGCCTATACAGAAAATATTCCACGTGGTAACCTGTTCAGAGTTCTGAACCGTAATAAAAATAGTTTTCTGTTTAGAGGAGTCTAAATGGTATTTGAAGTTTATCTTGTGTTATAATTATGGACTTTGCTATTTTTTAATAGCTGAGACAAACTGTTCAGTTTATTGTCGTTCACTAATGACTTTGACTACGCAGTACGAGGGAAAAAAACAACTGGTTTTTTTTTGTTTTTTTTTTTTGGTTTTTTTTGCAAAACAAGTAATTAGAACATTATAGAATCTTGTATGTATCTGTAAATGAATAAGAACATGCCTGCAGCTGTTTTGTCATTAACAATCTATCATTGTCAAAGACCTCATTGAATATGGCGTTTGACAAGTTAAGACAAATTTCGAAATTGAAAAAAAAATTTAAGCAATCAAATTATTTAGAACATTTTGTTTAACTACATAGGCCCCAAAGCGGAGCAAACCGTGAGTCGGGTAGCGGGTGTACAGCCTAGAAAGTGACAGGAAAGCCAGGCATCAGAAAAAAACAATATTTGGATATGATGTACAAAAAAAGGCTGTTTGACGAAAAACTTGGGAACAGTTAATAACGGTACTATACAGATTTTTGAATATTTAAAATCTGTAGGGAAAAAAGGGTGATAGATCAGATTTCCCCGACGTAAGCAAAGTGGGCGTGGTCGAGCTTCGATTAAAAGGCCCCGAAAATGGTGCTGGGGGCGAAGCCCCCGAAAATTTTGACAATTTAGGGGTTTCAAAGGCTTACTTAATCGATTTTAGAGTCTACTAATATGTAAAAAATACATATAATTTTGTTTTCTCCCCGACGAATTGTGCTTTTTATCCCCGACCGCCGTACGACGCATTGAATGCTTGGCTTAATACCATAACGCTCCATAATTCAAATACGGTACTAAATAAACGATAGAGGTTCTTAAGTTCATTTTGAATACAAAAGTAGGCCTAATTTAATAATATTTGATTCGGGAGTAAGTAAACAGTTTTCTGAACGCGAAATTAATACACTCAGTAGGCCTAAGAATGAAAACCACAAGTGACTTTGACAGGACTGGAAATCATGACTTTCGAATTACCCTGCTGACGTCATACCACTTGACAACAGAAGTAATTAACTACAATACGTTTATTATTAATATTGTCATTGGTATGGAGATCATAAACACTTAAAAAACATAATCAATAAAAGCAAAACACATCTTGTCAAAAGCTCGGCGTTTCTATTTTCACAAAGACTGCTCTATTTTGATTTCTTTACTTACTTTAGCTGCCCTTGGCTCGATTTGATTGACTTTAATAAACATATTATGTTTAGCAATGTTTTTCTTTACGCAGGCATTATTTACGTAGGCCAATGTCTCTGCGAAGAACACACGAGACAACAATGACGCTATGTTACTTATTAAACTCTCTCTATATATATAGGTCTAAATACTGTAGGCCTATATATAAGGACCAATCATTACAACGTAATCTCTAAACCTTCTGTTAAATATTGTAATGTTTTCCAGCATACCTACACTTGTTGTTTTTTCACAATATTCTCTATAAAATAGGCCCTACCATAAATATAAGAGGTTATCATATCAGAATAACATAGAGATGCACACATTTATGACGGCCAGAAGACACCCAGACCCCTCAGAGGCAAATGGCATAGGCCTATGGGGGCGGATGGGGCGAGCGGGCGTTGGGTGTAAAGGTGAATAGATTTTGAAAAGGTTACTGCTGGCGATTTGGGAAAGCAAACCTCTTTTTGGACGGCGTGCGCCCGGCCAATCCCCTCACTGCACACCCTCACGCCACTGCTTTAATTTTAATTATAATGTCTCTCTATTCTGGCGTAGGTTTATTTGTTAAAATTATTTAAGTATTTTCTGCATTACTTTTACTTTTTTTAGATGAGAATTGCAATAAAGTTGTGTTGTACTGCTCGGAGTGGGCCCCGGATGGAGTGGGCTCAGTGGAGAGCCCCAGACAATTGGATTTGAGTTAGATAAAAACTTATGCTGTTAAAAAAAACCCAAAAAACAAAAATAAACTTCTCCCCGAAGTTAATGTGTTAAGATCCCGAAATCTCGACGAAGCGGCAACGGAGGCCCTACCCACCCCGCGTCCCTCGCATACACTGTAACAAATAATGTAGTTGGTAGTTGAGGACATACCGTAATTGGCCAATCGCAATCAGCAATTATCCCATAATTAAGTAACGCGGGAATTGACCCGGATGAAGAATGACTGAGCGTTTGAATCTGGTAATTGATGGTAGGCCTACTTTCTGAAGTTGTCACTCAGTTATTGAAAAAAAAAACACATTAAATTTAGTTTTCTGAAAATCATCAATCTTTGATGTGGTCCGTAAATGAAATTAAGTGACATCAACCGTTCAAATAAGATTGATCAAGCTTTGTAGGCCCAAGTTGTGCTGTGGGACCAGGTCTGCCAACAATCACCCGGAGTCATGATGTACGCTGGTAAGCCCAGTCCCATCACTCTCATTGTACATTTACTGAATATGCCTTGTGGTTTGTTTCTCGGGCTCTAACTGCTGTAATATGGTTCTGTATTAGTAACATAATACTAATAGTAGACAGAGAGGTACTATAATTTAGTCCCTGGTGGTATGATATATTATCCTGTAACCAAAAAAAAAAACTATTTTTTAGGCAGATATTTGGTAGAAAGTGACAGGAAAGCCAGGCATCAGAAAAAAACAATATTTGGATATGATGTACAAAAAAAGGCTGTTTGACGAAAAACTTGGGAACAGTTAATAACGGTACTATACAGATTTTTGAATATTTAAAAACTGTAGGGAAAAAAAGGGTACAGATTTGATTTTCCAACTCGAGCAGTTTTTTTGGTAAAAGCAATATCTGTAGACGGTAGGCCAGTGTACGCATATCTGTAGACGGTAGGCCAGTGTATGCATATCTGTAGACGGTAGGCCAGTGTACGCATATCTGTAGACGGTAGGCCAGTGTACGCATATCTGTAGACGGTAGGCCAGTGTACGCATATCTGTAGACGGTAGGCCAGTGTACGCATATCTGTAGAGCTTGACATTAGCCAGCTGGGTTATGGAGTGTTCATTACTCATTAGCTCAACCCGCCCTCGATAAACTAACGTTATGTTATCTCACTATATTAATTGGATTAACACATTATCAAGGATAAGTACTGAGTGTTTAACACTGGTGTCCTTGGATTAAATTATAGGTAAACGGATTAGTTGCCTTTTTTATGAGGTTTTAATTGTTCTTTACCGCCGAAAGTGCGGTATTCTAACGTTAGTTTATGGAGGGCTGGTCGGCCTAATGTACACCAATCATAAAAACTGCCCTGGCCTCCCCCACCCTTTCAGAAAGTTAAAAAAAAGAAATTTATAAAAAAAATAAAAATAAATATTGATCGCCCAGAATGCCTCTCAGAGGTTTATTTCCGAGCATCTAGAAAACAACACTACCCCCCCCCCCAGATTAATGTGTTCTCTCGATCGGCACCCCCACTTTTTGTTGGAATTATACCCCTCCCACTTTCAGACATCTTTGAATCTGTCCCAGTACAGTAAGCTTATCCTCTTGTTTTCATACATTGAAATATCATCAACATATTTAAGAGCTCTAGATGCATGAAAAGCATAATTAATCATGATTTGAAATCCTAATGGGCCAAGCTTTTTCCCCCTGCAGCTTTTATGGTAATATGAGCATAAAGGGAATTGTATCTTACACATTGTTCTCTGCAGCTAATGAAGCTACAATTACATGGGACTATCGATCTATGGACTCCAATATCAATAATTTTCTTGATGAAGATGTTATGCTCAATGAGATCATAGGCTTTAATGAAGTCCATTATAACGACTGTTCCAATATTGTGGGGTTCCTTAGCTGTAGACAACAAATTATGTAGGGGTGTGTAAACATGGTCTTGTTTTTGTGCATCTGTAGGCATTTTTTAAATAAATTAGGCGTGGGTAAACATGTTGGACTTGTTTTTGTGTATAGACTATTTTGAAATAAAATCAGTACAAGTATTCACACAAATTACAACTTTTATGGCTGTGGTTTCATAACAACTGGTCTACTGTTTATTATTAAATTATTGCAATCGGCTGAGCGGTTATGTCAGGGATACAGTGAACTTTCAGCTATAATATGGGTGCTGGTTCACTCACTCGACAATGGTTCCGGTGGTAGAACAAGTCTTCTCGGATAAGGACTAAGGACGGTAGGCCAGTGTACGCATTTGCCTCGTGTGCACTTCGAAAAACTCAGTACATTTCAAGAAGAGTAGGGGGTTATCTCGGTGTACTGGTCCATTGGATAGTGATTAAGTTCGCTGATTGACATATCTTTGGCACTCGTGCCTAAACAAATGAAATTAAATTAAATTAAATCGCAACAAAGTAGATGAATATTGTTTGTATTTTAATTTAAACAGAATGTGCAACCTTTAGATCTTGATAAATTGAGTTCCATATAGCTCCATACATTTAATAAAATTCTAACTCAACTTAGTATGCCTTTTAGATATAATGTAATAATTTGAATTTTGTGTGTGATAACTATGTAATTCACTGTGTTTCATAGAGTATTTGTTAAATGATATTGGAAGGTTACTGTTTGTGTGTCTATACATAAATATTGCAGTCCGAAGCCTTGATATGAAAAATACTTAACAGTTTAACTACTATAAAAGGAAAGCAAACAATGTATTTAAAAAAAAAAACTAAGAACCTTAATAAAGACAACACAATTCTTACCTTATTTTATAGATCAATAATACAAAACAAAATGTAAATAAATTAGACACAATTAAAAAAGCAGCACAGAAAATAATTAAATAGGATATTGTACATCTAGATGATATTTATGATAAATACAAATTGGCAAAACATAAGAAAATAATGAACGACACGACTCATCCACTACATTATGATTTTATTCTTTGTAATTACGGTTTTCGATTAAACGTACCACTTACTAGACACACTGCTACTATAGAAATTCCTTTATTTCTAATTCTGTTATCACACAATATTAATGTTATAAGATTTAATTTAAGTGCAATTTTGGCCTATTTAAATGTTGTTGGTATGTTTTATATATCATATATAAGTATTGTGTTTATATACTTACTATCTTGTTTATAATCTTTTATTTATTACTCGACTACTGTGTTCTTAGTACCTTGTAAAATTGCCAGTGGAAAATGATTTTTCTGGTCTTTATCGGACAATAAGATTTTTTTGAATCTTGAATCTTGAACTGTTTGGGAATATTTAATCAGAACATGCTTTAAAATATATTCTTACAAAGACTACTGGAGAGCAGTTGAAACACATTGCAAAACCAACTTCAAGTATCACATTTTTCATGTGATGACCCTCAAAATGTGTTTGGCGCCCTCTATAATCATACTTTATTGCTTAAGCTGATTTCAAGTACTTCAAGTATATTTTAATGCAAAAAAAATTAAACTTTCAGTAAACTAAAGATAAAAGTAGCATAGCTGGAATTCATAGTAAGCCTTTAACTATGTGAACTACTGCCTCATTGCAATAGTATTTTGAATAAATAGCAATTAACTAATGGAATACTGTACTATAAACTATAGCACTGGTACTGTATCCAACGATAATGTTTGAGAGTTGTTTGGCAAGAAATTAATTTAATTTATGGAATAATTATTATGGGTTAAACAAATAGAATCTATGTTGTTCAACAATTGTGTAATATTATGAATTTTAAATTTTATTTTTCTTTTGTTGTTAAATACATTAATCATTATTCATCAAATTAAGAAGTCGTTATTATGTTATTATTTTTTCATATAACAATGTATTTTGTTCATTTATCCTTTTGTTATGTTTTGCGATCAATCACCTTTTCCAAAACAGCGCTTCTTTAACTTTACCACAAGCATGATGCATTTAACATGTAAGAGCCTATACTAGCAACCAACATTATTCAGATCTTGCCAATAAGTTGACCTGAGTCTAAGAACTTCGGTGACATACTTTCACCTAAATAATTAATATCTCCCGTTAGGATTTACCAAGCATCTTTCAACTTTTTTGTGCAAAGTTTGAACATCAAACTTTCTATTTCGTAGCCTTGAAGGGACGAAGGTCCCAATGAAAAACAACGTCGCTCTTTGATAGCTAACATCGTCTATTTAACATCACAATAATTCATTATTAGACCTATAGTTGTTTTTTGAATTGTACTCCACAAATCTCAGCCGATACCTCGCACAACTGTTTAACGTCTCTATCTATTGTCGTGACGTCATGGCTCGCTGGCTCACACTTGTGATATGTCTCGCACTTGTGATATGTCTCGCACTTGTGATCAAATAACACTCTGGCTCGCACTTTGGCAACACTCTTTGGCAGTCAAACTTTCCCCATAAAAAAATGTACACTTCCTAGACCATGCAGTCTTCAAAATAAAAATTGTAACCTTTGGTAATCAACTACATTTTCCACATACATAGAAATTTTTAAAACTTTATTTAAAAAAACCTAAACCATAATTCACCACACTATAGACACTTTTTGACAAAAATGAAAAATTACGACTTTGTTACTTAATGAGAAGTGTTCCAATATAGACAATGGGTCGTGTCTCATATTATTTGTTATAGTTTTATTATTTCATTATTTTCATTTGACTCGCATAAATAATTTTGTTCGAAGAACATTTATATGCAGTTGTACTTCGCAGCACTTCACTTGCAATTTGCAATTTCTAGTTTAAAAATTAGATGACATGTCATAGTTGAGAGTACGGGCAGTAAGGCAGGGGTGCTGATAACTTTAGCCTTACTTTCAGTGGCGGATTCAGGAATTACTACCTCAGCTAGTTGTGTATTGCACTCTTAGATGACTGGAAATGGCACTCTCAGACTAAAATTTTAAATATAATTTTATTTTTCTCCCATTTAAAAAAAATAAATTTTGAAAAATTGAGGGGGGGTCATGAGCCAACTGAGACACTTTTGAATCCACCTATTACATTAACACTGGTTTGAGCTGCCCCTCACCCAGGGATCAGTTGGTAGAATCAAATCTCTCCAAATTATTATAATTATTAATTATAATTAATTATTATTTTTTTTTTTTTTCTTTTTTTTTTTCTTGTATTTTTCTTAATTTTTTTCCCCGAATTTTATTTTTACTGTTAAGCACATTGAGGCTTTAGCATAATGCGCTATATAAGCCAAAATTATTATTATTATTATTATTATTATTATTATTATTATATATTAAAGGACTAAAATGTATACATGTGGCTCGTGTGCATTTTAAAGGACCCATTTCATCTTTCGGATGAGTAGGGGGTTACTCTGATGCGGTTTATTTCTGCCCTTGTTGTAGAATGATATGATCATGAAGCTACTATTAGCGCTTTTTTTCTTTGGCAAGGTAGTCACGGACCACACCCATATGCAATTCAGTACAATGACACTGAGTTATAGGTTATTCTCCTACCTTTACCTTTACCAGTATTTTCTCGTTGATTGAGCTGTCTTATTTGAAACACCTACATCTCAATTACTCATTCTATTTTACTAAGTGTATAATTGAGAATCATAAAATAAGGTATTTGTCATCACTTAACAAGGTTTCACCCTCATTTAATTTCCCCTCCAACTGTTACATTCTTCAAAATTTCAATAATACAGGACCACTCCTATTATTCCAGAGGGTCCACTTATTATTTTCAGATGCGAAAGAATAATACATATAAAGACAAACACACTATCATGCTAGGATGCAATATTTTGACTTTATTGGGTCATCATCAGGAATAGCAATTTATCCATTTACAGACTTATGCAATAAGAATACATAATAGTATTAATATTATTATTTTCTGATAAAATTTCCCATTGATTTTTAGTAAAATATTATGAGATAAGCTTAGTTTTTTACTCTTTACTCTAGATATATTGTATTATTCATTTACTGTATTTTCCATATTGTCAATGTCAATATTCTACATAGTAAATATTGATGTATTTACAGCTTTTTAAAGTAATAAAAATAATGTTATTGTTAATAAGTCTTGCATGGTGAATTGACATTAATGATTAATAATAAGCTTTTGGTACACCATGTGACATACCGTATATTATTGTTAATGTTATTAAAAATACTGTATTCCTAAAAATTTATTTAATATCCGGTCATTTTAAATTTTTGTACATCCTCTATATAATATTACAATAAAATTAGTTCTAGAAATAGTTTTAAGCTACATAAATGAGGATGATACCAGTAGCAGCTCTCCAGAAGATTGCCCAAATACATGCAGTGTGTTTATAGAGTACCACAGTCGTGTCGTCACAACGGCAGGTGGCGCTCTTTGTTGACAACAGACGTTGGTTACCGTTCATTATGCCTGAATGACTTCATAGGCTTTCTGGAATAGGCATTTTAAAATCTAATATTTTACCATCAAAATCAATTAAAATTTACAAAGAAAAAGTAGGAAACAACATTTTAATAATTATGTTAGAAATTGGGATCAATGGTTTGTCAGCGGTGAAAATGGCGTCCAGTTGAACGCATTTTGCAACGATAGCAACGGAGTAGTATCATGGTGTAACACTGTAGTACTCTATGACATTTCAGTTATTTTGTTTTATGCTTGGTGGTAAGTTTTAAGGAAATTTTTTCAAATTCCTGTAACCTTTCCCTTTTACTTTGACCTTTTCATCCTAAAATTTAATATCCTTTTTCTTAAACCCATATCTGCCACTCCACTAAGTTGTATGATCCATTCGTTAGTTTTTATTTAGTCCTACTTAAAAACAGACAGACAGCCAAACAGAATGACAGACAGAACGAACGACAGACAGACAAACAGCAGTAAGTTCGTACTGTAACCTCCTTGCTGAAGGTAAGTAGGTTAATTGAATAATTCAGCCACTGCCCTATTTTCTATTATTATGAAGTAGAACTCTATTTTTGTTACTTTTGGAATGATGAAATAGCATTAATCAATCGTAAATTCTCTTTTCTAGGGAAATACAGAAAGTGCCTGAGTCACTCTTGAGATCCTCTACAGCTTATTCTCATGGGACCCTCTCAGGGTGTCACCTGATTTGGTGAACTTACACTTGCGCAACATTTACACTTCCTGGAATATGTACGGTAGTCAACGGTTAAGATGGTAAAACTCACTGGTGTAGCTTCAATGTTGACCGAGGGTAAGTTGAATGCCCAGGAAGTTCAAATTACATTAATTTAATGTCTATTATGTTGCAGTAACTTTAAAAAAAGACATTGTTTACACTCGGGGGAAAGTGGATGAAACAGCTGTCAGGCATGAATGGTAACACAAAAAGAAAAATTGGTATGGCAATGCACGACCGACGATCGGACGCATTGTGCAACAATTTGTTTTTTTTTTTGCTTTTTTCAGACAGTGTTCTGTTGAGCTTATAGTGCTCCGGATGCATTACATTTTACCAATGGGACCTTTTTTTGGGGAAGCGGGATATATTATGTACAAATAACATTTGGTGGTTTCTCTGGTTACAATGGGCCATGGGTCGAGGTGATGTACATTATGCCTATGGAAATTTTTTAAGCTGTTTTTCTGAGATATTTTAGAACTCGTATGTCAAAAAAAAAAAGAAATATTTGAGTCATTGCTAATAGGGGACCTTGGTGCCTATACCTTCAAGTGCATCTTGGCTGCAAGGTTTCACATGATAAGTAGTGCATGGAGATCCAATGATTAATCATATGTCTTGATTGAGATGTTCTCTATCATGGTGTTGTCTTCTTTAATTATAATTACTCATATTAAAAAAAAAAAAAACAATCTTTCATCTTCTATCCTATTTAGCAAGAATACATGTGTAGATCTTTGTAAAGCAGTATGATAGAACAGTATACTATCACCATTGGTCATAGGGGAAAATCTGTTTAGGAACTGAGCTAGGGGGTGGGAGGTCAGGTTGTGGTATAACCGATTGTAAAATACAGGTATAATGCAGTATTTTCAATACCCTTTCCTTTTCTCTCTTCCCATTTCCTCTTTTCTTTTCATATTGGAAAAGGGTTCTAGCCCCCATTTGCTCCTTCTAGATCCACCCCTAGGTCAGGCTAAATCCCATTGAATGCAACACTATTTTTGTCTCAGTCGTACTTGGAGAAGATAGTCACAAATTTTAGTCTCTATTTCTAAATACAAATGCCATTTATCCTCCCATTTTCACCTTTTTGTTTTTTTTTGTTTTGTTTTTGTAAATTATATTATTCATTTATTGAGTGACTGTCTACCATGTTGTCATTACAGTACTGTGGAATCTTAATTATTGTGAATTAATAAATTGTAGGATAATGCAACATAAGTATAACAACAAGTTCATTGACAAGTAATAACAGTTGATGCTGACCGACAACAAATTGAGGGAACCCTAGGTCTTCTGTTCAGAGTTTTGGACTAAAAGTTCTGTTGCAGTCACAAATTTGGTTGGATGTTTCCCACAACTGGAGATCCATGGTTGTCCAATGAGAAAGGAGAAATTTCTCTGACCTTCTGTCGTCGCTATTACTGCGCATAACATTGCTTTCTGTTGCAAGCTGTAATCCAGTCAAGATTAGTATTTTCATTGTAAAAATAATGTGAATTTTGCCAGGATTAATCCAAAGATCTAGGAATTAGCAGATGTGTTCCACATTGTGAGATTGTGTAACTTCACTCCTGCAGTATCTCAATCATCATGTAAAGAATGATATTGTTACGATGTAATTAAGCCAGACTTCCCCAAATTAGATCCGTCACAAAGATGATATAAATCAAAAGATAATGTTAGTCATGGAGTTGAAAGGTTAAAACTAAGTTAATTTAGTTTGATGTGTATCTGCCTTATTAGTTGTTCTCATTTTTGATTGACATGCTTTTGTTAATCTTTAAACATAATCTAGACAGACTTTAAGAATTTGTTATTGAGAATGTGTAGGCTGAGGAAATCAGTTTTCTGAATTTTATTGTAGGTATTAAATTTTATTTTTCAAAAGGAAAATTTAGAACTACATTAGCTAATACATATTCCAGTATCCTGTGGAATTTTTGAGAAAAAAAAATTGAATATTTATAATTATAATTTATATTGGTATTTTGTATTCCAAAAGACATTGTATGATTCTGTGCATGATAATATACAAGTAATAAGACATCTCTCCTTTGCTGTCACCTTCTTCATCATTGGCTACAGAAATTTGCTAACATAGGTCTGAACAAAGGGGCTGACTACATTATCATGGACGTAGATTGAGGGGTGGGGCCCCCATGGTAGTAATTTTGTTACACTAAGTTATTAAAATACTAAAAAGGACCATTCAGTTTAAATTTCAATCCTATTCATTTACATTTAGTCCCACATTCTCAATTTTCGCAAGCCCCAGTTCCACATTATCATTTTTTGCTCCCCCCTTCCCCAAAGATGGAACCAGCCTATGATCCTGATTGTAAAATCAAACAGAGGTAAAATACCTATGCTGGGTTCAATTTCCCACCTGATTGCCACACTTTTTTAGGATATCACCTTTGGATACTTGGAAGTAACAACCTTAGACTGTCACATCAAAACTGTTTATGGATTGTCAAAATTCATGAAATAGAATGTTTGCAAAATATAAAAAAAAAATGCAGTGATTTCTCTAAAACCAAATATTATTACACCTGGGATTTTTCAGACAAGCAAGTATGATTGATTGGCTGTTGCCTAGTAAATTTCAATATTTAAAATATGAATTTAGATAAATAGGTATTATATTCTCCAAATATAAAAGAAAATTATTGATAATATATTATTTATAAAAGTATAATATACAGTAATAGATAGGTGTCCCCTGCTGTAGAGTATGCTTACATTGAATTAATGACATACATAATTATTAAATTATTAATGGTTATTATCTTGACCTTTTACCCAATGATTTAATTTTGAACTTGTTATATCAGGGTCAAGTTCTTGTGACTCAGTTTCATATAATTGCAGATTCAATGCACAATATAACTACATTCTTATAATAATTTTTCAATGTGACCCTTACCATTAAGAATGTATGATTCATTATGAATCAATTAAGGGACCCCACCTTGAATATACATTAGAGTAATTAATCTGCCAAGTCAGTATCAATAGGCCTACTTTTGTCTTTTGTGGTTAGGAGTGGGTGGCGGGTTTCTCTGGGCTTAGACTTATTTCCAGTGGGGTCCTTCTGGTGGTAAATTGGGCAGTACACCGGGAGACAATTCCCTACTCTTTACCGACGAGTGTATTGCATTCTTTACCTGCACATAGGCAAATGTTCACGTCTCACCTGAAAGACGGTGTGCTTTTGAAACTTACATTTCAGCCTTCCCGCCAAAACACAAAGAAAGCAGCGATGTGAATTGAACCGGGGACCCAGTGATCTTTAATGTTCAGCACACACACAGTGACCACCAGTTTAGCCGACTAAGCTACAGTAGTTGTTCTCAATAAGTCCTCTCAGCCTCAACTTGTCAAACAGATTTGCGTTTTAATTCTTTGGGAATTAATATGTTATGAATGTCTGAAAACAGCTAAATTATAAGGTACATAAAATGTCCTTGTTATTCTAGACACCAGGTTGAAAGATTAAACAGGGCTGAAAATTAACCTCCCAACCATAGTGGCCAGCAGGGCCAGTAAGAAGAAATTGATACTGGCCCTTCTAAAGTTATACTGGCCCTAAAAAAGAAAAATCAATAAAACCAGCAAGAATACATTGGTTCAATAATTTTTTTTTTAGCAAATTGAATCTGCCTTTAGCCAAAATTTGACACAAATTGTTAAAATCATTAGTCCGAGCTGACAAGAGCCTCAATTAGGGTACCGGAAAAGAATCCATTGTATTAGTTCACACACAGAGAGAGAGTTTTTATGGGCCAAAATTTGGATTTTAGACCACATTAGCAGGGCTCGATTTAGTACTAGCCCGGCGTACAATGTCTAGTAAAAACCGCTCCGGGCTAGCCTATTTACTCCGCATGTTGCCCGGTTGTCTAGTGGAGACTAGCAAGAAAAACATTTTCTTTAAAAAAAAAAAAGCGGAACTTTCGAGACAATCCCCGCACAGGAGGTACCGCAGCCCAGAGAGTACACTCTAGCTAGCTGTCTGTTCTCCTGAGCTGAGTGTTTAATTATTAAGATGATCCCCAAGTCATTCACCAACCACTCCACTACTATCTTTCAATAGAAGATCGTTTGATCGTTAAATCTGGTTAACTTAGGTAGTTAGAACATTTAATTTAATGTACTACATTATATTCATATTATTTTCTCATAATGATATTTTTTAAAGGTTCAACTTTTAATAATTAAGTACTTCAATGCTATAGGTAGGCTAGGCTAGTCTAGGCCCTAGGTCTTGCCTAGGCCTAAGTAGCCTAGCCCAGCCTAAGCAAGATTTATTGCCATTGGGGGTGAGTGACTTGAGACCTAAAGATTTAACAGATGCATTGGTTTGATTGATTTTTGGGCCCTTTGTTAAATACTAGAAAGCCAAAGTTATAACCAGGGAGATGTAAAACATGCTCATCTGTCCCTGTTATAACCAGAGTTGATTTTGCAGCATGGGTGATTTTTTTTTATTTATTTATTCAACAATATTTTGAGAGGGTAGTTCAAACAGCAATGCTACAGAAATTATGAAATTGCAAATCAACCTTCAAATTTAATTGTCACTAATAAATATTTTGAAACAAAATTTTTTCCTGTCTGTGGGCTAGTAAAATACTCTGTGGGCTAGTAAAATCTCTAGTAATCTAGCCCAGTGGGCTAGATACCAAAAAAAGTTAGGGCAAGCCCTGATTAGGGATTGGCAATCAAAATAATGTTATTTGATATGCAAATTAATATTTATAGCACAACAACGAGCTACTTTAAAAGTTTACTAAATATATAACACAAAATTTGAAAAAATTAAGAACCTAGGGCTATCTAGTATTCTGAATTTAGTTTGGAACGATATCAGGGTGGGTGGGGGTGTCTTGGATCAAGGAAAAAGCCTAATTTTGGAAACGGTAGTGTCTCTAGAAAACCTGTATTTTATGCATTTTTAGCATAATTTTGTATCAGGACATAAAGTCCTATTAAGGATTATTCAAAATTGATTGTCTGGAAATGGACCTGATCGTCTCGTGCGTAGCCCCGATTGTGTGTCACCC